TCGGCACGCCGTCTTTGGTTCGGCTTCCCTGTCCCCCTGTGCTTGAAGACATTGTATCTGCCGGGGGCGAACGCCCGCAGACTGGTCCCTGGATCGTTCGGCTGCTGGTGAGCTCACAGGAGCTCCGCTACCATGAAGGCCTCAAGGTTGTAGGGGTAGCCGGAGTGCACAAGCTTGTAGGCGAAACACAGATCACAGCCCTTGTAGCGTGGCACGGCGAACAGTGCAAGCTTCGGACTCTATCTGCCTCTTTTAGCCAAAGTCGCTGCAATTCCGAGTGTTCGTGAAGAGCTGCGCAAGTTTCACTTGCAGGCAGTACCGACCAGGCAAATGCGATAGTTTCAGGCCAGCATCCGTGAGTTGCCTTGTCAGAGGTGTTTGTAAAAGGAAGCCGCGGGACACCCGCCATGATGCAGTGACCTCCGCCTACTTAGACTTGCCTTTTCGCATCTTCCTTTTATGCTTGCACCCTCGGTCGGTGTTGAGTCGAGTTTCTGCGGGCCATGTCTACGCACACATGATCTGCAAGGAAGTCTCACGATGCAGCACATGCATTCGATTCGAGCGGTGTTGCTTCCGTATAGTTCATTGGTGTGATGCGGCAGTGCTGCATGGTAAGTGCCGTGCGGCTCCCAGTGCCGTGCTTAGCGAGGGTGTTCGCGCCCATTCACTCCCTCACCTCGCCTCACCTCAACTCACTTCACTGGCTGCCTCATTCATTCAGTCAGTCAGCCAGCCAGGCGGCCAGCCACTCATTGAACCAACCAATCAACCAACCAATCAGTCGTGTGACTTGGGAAGATACATGCAGATCCCAGGTACTATCCATGGATTTGCTACTTCTTCTGCAGCTGGTTGCCCAAGGCCTGGGTCTCACCACACTGATCCAGCGCAGCTCGCTCTGTGCATCGGCCGGAGCACAAAGTGCAGTTTCGCCCAAGTGCACGTGTAACTGCATAAATTTGCAGAGCTCCGTTGCGTGAAGCCTCGCTTCTCCAGGCGGCTTGGGAGCTCCGGCTGCTCTGCGTCTATTCGCAACCTTGCCGGACTTACCTGTCGATGAGGCCGCGGAAGGATGTGATCATTTCTGATCCGTGTAAGCACGGCAGACAGCTTTACTGCTAGTTGCCGTCATTTGCATCAGTGAGTGCTTTGCTGTAACGCCTTGCTATGGTGCTCTTGCCCCGGCAAAGAGGAGGGCGTGGATGTGGTGGACCCAAGACGGTATCTATCCCTTTCCTTTGATCGACAACGGCGAGATTCAGTGGCGTGACTTCCGGGACTCTTTGCCTATCCTGCTTCCCGCGGCGGTGGTCACGGAACCTCGGCCGATCCACATGCTGCGTTGCTCTGTCAGATAAATGACAAATCAAAATGTCCGGGCAAAGTCGCGGCTCGGGCCGAGTCCAGTCGCATGAGGTAGTGATGAGCCGTTTGCTTGCCGAGCGGATGGACACTCCTGGTCACGACGATACTGCACGGATCCGCGCCGCGCTACTCGTAGGAGGATGCTTCTTGCTCGTTCTGCACGGAACGGGCTCGGCTTTCGTGCTTGCGTACGCAGGGCTGTTCTACACCTTGGGAAGACTCCTAGCCGGCAGAGCGATTTGCATTCCAATGGTCTGGCTAGCAGCAGCGCTCTGCATCGCTGTCGCAGACCAGAGGATCTTGCCAGAAGAGTCGATGCAATTTGGATCCTTGCTGGGTCCAAGTGCTGCATTTCTGGATGCAGCACCATTTACTGGTGTGTACCACTGGTCACATTCAATCAAGCTCATGCTGCTTCGATTCTTGGCTCGTTGTTTCGAGTTTAGGGTTTATTTAGGGTTTCTCGTGTCGGCTTTTACTCTCCCACCAGAAAAACTGGACCCCAACCTCACCCGGCGCAGACCCTGACATCTGACAGCAAACAGGCATCCGACAGGCATCCGACAGGCATCCGACAGGCATCCCTTGTTTTAGAACCGCCCCCTCCCCCGCACAACCCTGAAATTCTGGCCTTTGCTCTTCGCAAGACCGCTGTAGGCTCGGTGAGCTTCGTGCTCGATTGGCATTGGGCACTGAGTTCAGGCGCTGGGCAATCTGTCTTTTGAACGAGAGCCATCATCCCCCTGTCTGTTGTGCTGCTCGCAGGACGTCCTGGAGAGTGCAGATACACGTTCCTGAGCTCGCTTACGCACCTCCTGTATGCGCCAACCTTTCTAGCAGGCCCTCGGGATATCAATGCTTCGCCCGACACGTCTCGGCATACGACCAACGTCCATCTCACAAGCCAGGACCGATCATTACCTTTGACGATTTCGTGGACCAGTGCCACTCTGCAAAGCCTCCAGGGCGTCGCTTGGTTTGGCCTCATGTCTTGCAAGGTCCGTGAAACAAGGGCCGGTTTCGACTTGTGTAGGCTGGGAGCCGAAACAAGCTGCCCAGCCCATCTTTGCTCGTCGATGCTTGCGGCTCTGCACACCACGTCCATCTAAGGTATCTCTTGCAATTGGTCATAGCTCTGGCGATGGCAGCAGCCAGGCAGCAAAAGCGCTTTCTGAGACGGCCTTGGTCTGATCATTTTAGTGCGGCCGTGCGGCCTCCTTCGTCTTGGTCAGGGTGGCTAAGGCGAAGTGCATTGGAGTTTTGATTTTCTATAGACATTGGTTGAAGAGTCACTTTCTCGGCTCCCGCGGGCCAATGGTACCAAGGAGTCGGCTTGGCATCTCTATTTTCCCTTTGCCATGGCGCGGGTGGAGCTGCTGCGGGACTGCGGGAGAGCTGCCGCGCTCGATGCTCACCATCGATTCGACACAATAGATCCCCCATTTGGGTCCTTGTCAGGAGATGACGCCCCGGCTGGCTGCCGCGGCAGTGTTTCTGACCTTGTGCCTTGCATGTCACTGTCTCGGATGTGCGAGTCTGAGGTTGGGACTTGCAGGATCTTGCAGGGAGGTAAGGGTCAAGATGTATTCTGTGAGCCGATGTGAGGGAGACAGCTTCTTCTCTCTCCTGACTGGAGTGCCCGAGGAACATGATGTGGCTGAAGTTCCTGTGCATGTGGAGATTTGGCCGAGCAGCTCAGCGCTAATGCTGGAGTGTGTTTTCTGCCCCCGATCATGCCCAAGTACCTTTTGATGCCCGAGTATGAGCCTTGGGGAGGCCTGGGCCATGGCAGATGGAGTTTCTGTGCCGGAGAACATGCAGCGCTGCATGTGCAACAACTTCTCGCTGACGGGCTTCTGGCGTGGATGGCATTCATCTTTCAATCGCTGGCTGGTGAGATATTTGTGCCCCGCCGCGGAATCGTTGCGACACGTTGTCTTCCGTGTTTGCCAAGATCAAGCAACATCTCCTGTGCAAGACTCGCGTCATTTTCGAGAGCATCGCACTTCGCATGCTGTCGCGTCTCCACTACCTCGGGGAATAGCAGTAATAGCATTCAAGGAGCCAGCTGGAAACGGCAACTTGCGCAAGTAGCAGCAACACCGAAACTATGGAAGTCTGGATTTCTTTTTTTGATTCGCTCAGGGGCACGACGTAGCGCATCGTAGCGCCCTAACGTAGCACCGTATCGACTGAAGCAAAGTGCAAAGTGCAGGGAGGCAGAGACCAAGGCACATCGGGCACAGCGCTTTGCTGGGTCAGCCGTCAGAGCCGTCGGCGCTGATGCAAGGTACGTCCCACTGGGTGGTGCGCGACGAAAAGTGGCTGCATCAGCTGCCACTTTTTTGTTCGTGGCAGCCTGGCATGATCTGGAGGCAGGGTGGATGTGATACTGGATGAAACTGAAAGCTGGTTGTGAATAAGTGAAGGCAATGATGCCGTGATATGCTGTGGTAGTAAAGGGGTTTAGCGGAAGTTCAGCGACTGTGTGTATGTATAGCGTGCAAGACTCGAGCACGGTTGGCACCGGGCGTGCCTCCGCAAAATTAGGAGAGTCGGAAAAAGCCCTTGACAGAGCGACAGCACGGCAGGTGAAGCTCATGGCCTGGGGGCTCCTCAATGTCGGCTTCCTGTGGTTGGAGGCACAACTTTGCTTCTGATGATCCAGCTCTGCATCTGGAAGATACTGGAACTATTGGAAGATACCACATGCGACAGCCAGCAGCTTGCTTCCCACGAACACCTCGAAACAAACCAGACGGGCTCAGCTCAACACTGCGCAGCCATCCTTCAGTAGAGAATGCAGCGTGACCCGCTCCTGCAGGGCCTTGTGGCTCATGACACTCTCAACCTGACTCTCAACCAAGTGCCGTGGTTCTCCCTTGCTTCATAACATTTTATGACTGTGTGCAATGTGCTTGCTGCCGTTGGTCCATCCACGCATTGGGGTAGAGAGTTTGCCAGCAGCAGGGCGCGGCGGCGGCCCGCCCGGGACCTTGGCCGCGGGCGGTCCTGGGAATCGCAGGCCACCACACGAGAGCTGAGGCAGCCGAGGAAAGAGAAGGTGGTAGTGTGCTAATGTCGTGGTTTCAGCAAAGAAACCAAGGTGAGAGCATTTTTTTCCGAATACGGAAGTGAGAGCAACAGATCTGATCCCGGGTGCAGGGGCCCCGCCGCTGCCTGCGAATAGTTTTGCAACAGAGAGACTCTTAGCAGTAATCTTCCTAGCATGCCTCCTGAAGGCAGCACATACATCCTCGTCCTCATGACAGTCAACCTGTTGCTCGGCCTTATTCAAGTATGCTGCCTTGGTGGGATCTCTTCTCCGTAGACCCATCTCGTCGCTCCCCACGAGCATTTTCTTGTTCGACTCGCGGAGTAAAGTGTGTAGTGTTCTCGTACCATGACTCGAGCTGAGACACCACCTCGAGCTCAGCAAGTCATCCTCACACCAAGCTTGGGAGATCCTCTCAACTTCAGCAGAGAGAAGGGGGAGGGTTCGAACACAATAATTATGTTACGTCGGCAGCCTGGCATGGGTGTGGCCGAGAACGGTTTGGAGGTGCCGGAATCATGATGCTGTGTCCGATTTCAAGCTGGGCAGTTTCAATTACAACCGAGCCGAGTATTATGATAAGAGCTTGGAAGTAACATGGAAGACAAGAGCGGCGCCAGCACCAGCACCAGCACCAGCACCACCATGCCCATCGCCATCTTCATCCCCATCCTCCTCATCCTCCTCGTCATCACCATCGTCGTCAGGATCGAATGCCACAAAGGCAAAACAAAAGCTTCGTTTACTCGAGTCGGGGAGCTTTGTTTCTCGGATCCTCAATGTCCGAAGACCCCATGCACAAACCACAGCTACCGTGGACACGAAAACGATCGCCAATGGAACAAAAGCAAGAGCCCATGCAGCCTGAGGATCGGCTACTCCACCGGCCTGGCGGGCCTCGCCGCGCTGCTCCCTGCCGCGGCACAGTGGCAGGAGGCAGCACGTGCAGAAGTGTCCGCATCCGCTTAGGTATCTTCTTCAGGGCAATTCCGGATACCTACATCTGTTTTCTTGACATGTGTTTTGCGCAGAGAGTCCAGACCGGTCCAGCCGCCAGCCTACGGAATCTTGTCAAGACTTTGGCACTGCCTAAGTGCAGCATTTCGGGGTCGAGACCATCCAACCGTCGCATGTTGGAACAAGACCTGCGAATGGAGCCCTCGGAGGCGTGTGTGAAATTCTGCATCCAGGTTGAAGTTGTCCTTGAGTGGTCCCAAGGTCTGCTCAACATGATTCGAACTGTTTGCGACATGGAGCTTCTATGAGCTTCTCAAGCTTCCTGCTGGCAGGCACTCTGGGTGCTGGGGGGTGCCTACTTGACCCTCTACTGCGGCATCCAGGTACGATGATCCAAGCATCGGCGCAATCGCAATCATGGTAGTCTGGACACTGGGACATTTGACCCCTTTCAGCCCTGGTTTTGGCTGCAGGTCATGCTGGAGCTGCGGAAGTTGGATGGGACTGCCAAGGAGGTCACTTGATGATAGACTTTGTCCTTACCTGAATTGCACCTCCTGCGTGCTTGACGTGCTGGCTTCTTGGCCTTACCAGCCTCATTCGTTCGCGGTGCTTGTGCTAATCTTGCTAAGGTGGCCGACCTTAAAACGGATTGAGAACGAGGGAGGCGTGCCGAGTCTTGAATCGGGAGAGCATTGGTTACGAGGGCCATGGCGACGCATGACCATCCCCACGGACACTATCAGACACCTTGAGTCGAAGACTCCAACGACATCGAGTTCATGGATGACACATTTTGTTCGCTGGCAGCTTATCTTGCCGGCTACAGCCGGCCACAACCTGGACGCTCTGCAAACATCCGAAGGCAAAAGCACTGCTTGGACGGCAGGTGAGCTGTTCCTTGACGAAGCAAGATTCCTGGAACAGCCAGGGGCACGAGGCTGTCATCGCGTAGGCAAGAAAAATGGGCACCAGGTCTTGGAACCTAGCTCAGCTTGCTGAATGCCCCGGCCACCAACGCTCACAAGTAAGCTTCCTCGCAAGCCTTATACCTTATGCCACATCTCTTAACTGGCTGTGTGTTCTGCAGCTGGATAGGTGGGAAAGAAAATTTTGAACGTGCATGTGATGAAACTTGCAGCTGATATGTCGACTAGGGGCGCAGAACTCTTGGCATGTCAGGGTTGAGCGGTTCATCCACTTAAAGCTTTCAGTATAGAAACCTTGCTGCAGCCAGCAGTACGTGTCGTTTCAATGGGCGATTTGAAGCAAAAGGCATGAGGCTTAACCTAGCGGTGCCCGGTGCTCATGCTAGATCGATCGGAGCTCTGTCGTGAAAGCAAGCAGCGGAATGCATCCCAACACCACCACTCGGATTCCTGGAATCCTTTGAAGGGACCTCGGGCTGCCTGTTGAGGGCACGCAGCAGCAGATGGCAAGGACCTTGGATTCTGCAAGATGCCAACAATCTGTAGAAACTCTCTTCTAGAAGCTGTCGTGATTAAGAGCTAGAAGACGGAAGGAGGAGGAGGAGGAGTGGCAATCCTGGACGGTGGTGCGTGAATTTGGTTTCGGCTCTGCAGCTTGTCGCCCTTGATCGGGCTACGCCTGGGTCTGCGGAGAGCTTCCAAGTAACTGAGATTGCGACTGATATTCGTGCTGCCCATTCATCATGGAGATGTCATCACGGTCAGTGATCCCGAGCATTGAGTTTTCTAGTCCATCCAGGCCGATCATAGCAGTTAACGTGACCATTGACTTGGCAAGGCTCCAGACGTCATGCTCTTCCCCTATCACTGTCTGTGGTAGCGCATCATGTCTTGACATGCAGAGCCCCAACTTCACGAGCTGAAGAAGACCTCTTCCAGATCACGGGCTATGTTTTCTCGATGGCACCGCACGAAGCTGCTTCCCGCGCTTCCTGTGGGGCGCGGAGCAGTGCAGGCCGTTGTTCGGGGTTTCCTCGAAAGCCAGGTGACGAGCACGCATGCCTCCCGGCCGAGAGGCGTTTGCCAGTGATCGAAAGCCATTGCGAACGGGGCCCTTTGGAAGCAAATAGAGCAAGGCTCTCCCACGGGTTTTCCGCATTCAAGTAAGAATCCACGGCATGACAGCACCCCATCTGTCCCATCTCAGTCCACAACTGCCGATTGTTCCAATCATCCTGGCGAGCAGCTTCGGTGCGTGCGTCGGGACCTCGATTTTGAAAGGTTTTCTACTTGTTTCAAGAAGTCCATTTCTTGTAATCGACGAATTCCGAGATTGTGGGCTTCGACTACTTCAACAGGCGGGCAGCTTTCTGAAGGATCCTGTCAGAGTCATTTGGTGCTTCGCGCGCATATTAGGAGTAGGGCCTAGTCGACGAGTGACTAGGGTTCTCGATGTTTTCCGAAGCTCTCATACAGGCAGAAGACGCCTTACGAAAAGATGCTTCAAAAGAAGGAGGAGGCTCCCGGGGTTCTATCCACAAAGACTCGGGCAGCCCGATCGACTCTCGGAGGAGTGGAGGGAACACCTCGCCGAGCTGAAGGAGTACTATGCCAAGGTCAGGTTCAGGGTCCAGTGAAGATACGAAGCAAGACATCCCAGAGTTGCAGGACCCTGAAAAGCACGATCCGCCAGCATCTTACTCAAGCATGTCGAAGTTTCTTCCATGTTCCGTGCCGAAGCAGATGGTTTGCGAGAGTTTTGGAGAGACATGGAGCGATCTGGTATGTCTCCGGTCCAGGCCACACGGGACAGCGCTGGGACACTTCGTTCGGGTAAACCGAAACAGCAGGCTGCTTCCCAACGGCCTGCCTGACTGGAAGGCGGCGCCAAGTCGGTAGCACTCCAGAATTGTCAGCCAACCTTTTCAGGGTCTTCGGTGTTTCCTTTGAATTCTCGTGGTTTGGGTTCCTCCAACAGTCTCGTCGCGCAAGCAACAACCTTGTATTGATAGGAACACGAGTGAGGTTGTGGCTTGCTCCGATGCAGATGTAACAGCTCAATCTTCCCTCTTTGGTGGTGGTGGCTCTTGTGTTGGGAGTGCCCTGCATTTCGGGAGTATACGTCTAGTTTGTCAGGTACGAGAGCTGGAGGCTGTGGACGGCTGGAGATGGGAGTGACCTTCGAGGCAAAATAACGAGAACGCTGGCCCCAGTGGCAAGGATCCGTGATCGTAATTCCTGCTGTAATGATGATGCTGCATATTGCTGCATATAAGCAGCACAGCACGTGGCGAAAGGATGGTCAGGCGGAGTGGGTTCACCAACAGGATAGGCGCTCTACTTGTTGAGTGAGGTGAAAGACTCAGTGCTAGGCGCTCTGCGCGCTTGGCAACATCGAGTGCTCAACAAAAAGGGCTGCCTTGCCGCTCTGTGCATTGCTGCCATGCCAAGCCGGAGTCTTTTGATTGACAACAACAGCAATTAGAAGAGTTTGGCGGACCATAGCATTTGTTTATGTCTGATTGCGAAAGTCGTGATGCTTAACCTCGCAATGCAAGTTGTCCCTCTTTTTGGTTGAGTCTTGTCTGTTAAGATAAATGTGTCTATGCGCCTTGCACATGCCTTCGTCACCAGATCGGCTGTGCTTGACGCGATCAGTATGTGGCCCACTGCGCCTTTTGCTGACGAATGAGTCGGATACTAGGGAGATCTCAGGCAGAAGCACTCTGCACTGCACAGTCAAACAGCTGCGCGGAGGCGTTCGAGTTGCATGACGAGAAAATCAGACGGCATACCAAGAGCCGGACGGCTTCGCGCAATAGTCGGCCATTGCCTGATGGCAAAAGTGGTACCTGATCTTGGACAGGCCTCTTACTGAAATGTGCTGTCCAAATGACAATGAGGGTGAATCCAGCGATGGCCATCGTTCCCGTGTCTGCATGAAAGTTCGTGGTTTTGGACAAGATGGTCTTTCCGTTCCGCCGACTTGGATATGTACGAGCAAGGATGATAGCACAATTAATAGGAAGAGTCTGACTGCTTGGTGAAGTCCGAAGCATTAGCTCTATCTGACGTCGCGTGGCTCTATGTGAGACAGGTCTGTCCACATCCAATTTGGTGTCGTGAGCTTTGACACAGGATGAGATCACAATTGATAGGAAGAGTCTGACTGCTTGGTGAAGTCAGAAGTATTAGCTCTATCTGACGTCGCGTGGCTCTATGTGAGACAGGTCTGTCCACATGCAAACTTGGTGTCGTGAGCCTTGACAGAGGATGAGATCACAAGTGATAGGAAGAGTCTGACTGCTTCGTGAAGTCAGAAGTATTAGCTCTATCTGACAATGCGTGATTCGAGCTGCGGCCATCTGACAAGCCTGCAAAAAGGCAAAGTTGATGTCGTGAGTGTTGACAGGATGAAAACAGAATTGATAGGAAGAGTCTGACTGCTTGGTGAAGTCAGAAGTATTAGCTCTATCTGACGCCGCGTGGCTCTGTCTGAAACAGGTCTGTCCACATGCAAACTTGGTGTCGTGAGCTTTGACGAAGGATGAGATCACAAGTGATAGGAAGAGTCTGACTGCTTTGTGAAGTCAGAAGTATTAGCTCTATCTGACAATGCGTGATTCGAGCTGCGGCCATCTGGCAAGCCTGCAAAAAGGCAAAGTTGATGTCGTGAGTGTTGACAGACAGGATGAAAACAGAATTGATAGGAAGAGTCTGACTGCTTGGTGAAGTCAGAAGTATTAGCTCTATCTGACGGAGCCATTCGACACTTGGCGTGTCTGCAGGTTGAGTTGGTGTCATGAGCGGGTGCTTCGGTCTGGCTGGCCTTTGGCCATCGTATCTTCGCTACTCTATTGTGGTGGCGATTGAAGATCTGGTGGCTTTCGGCGTTCAAGCAATTGGTCCTTTGCATAGCCTGTTGCTTATTCCGTCCTGTTGCCTTATGATGGCCTTCAAACTGAAACTGGATGCTGAAACGAGAGCGTGTTGGAAGAAGATCTGCATGCCGGCTTACTGGCAGCCAGCAACACTGGAGGTCGAGGTTGTCGGTCACCAGGGCTGTGTGTACGGCATGATCCGCTCGTTCGATACAGGCCTGACCCGTCTGGTGCTACCCCGTTTTACGGTTTGGCGAAGCCCCTGTGCCGCGGGCTATCGAGGCTGCTTGAGCTCTAGGCAGCTCCAGCAGGACACAGCATGAGATCGGCACAGTCTGTCACTTCCTCCTCGCTCTCCAAGGCGCTGCAGCTTGTTCAAGCTCTTGCAGCTGCCAAGGCAGAATGCCTGGGTGCAGAGGGCTCCCTTTGGCGCTGTCGCTACACTTCTTTAGATGTGCAGTGCTGTGAATCCCTGAACATCTGCCTGACTGGTGGGTCGTCTCAGCGGCTACTTTGTTGTTCTGGACCCACCCCGACTTTTTTGCCAGTTGTTACTCATGTTCAGCTGTGTCGTTTTATGAAGTTGTGTGATGCATGCCCGGAGGCAGAGCCACTCGCATCCGATGACAGGTGGCTGGCGGTCGCTGTGTGGCTAGATTCGAAGGCTGAACTTCAGGTATCTAGAGTGTCGCATGCTTCTAGAATAAAAGAGTGAGATGGAAGTGTTTTGTCAAGGACTCTTTAATCATGTAAACTTATCCTACCCCCCCCCCCCTTACTACCCCCCCCCTTAAGACCACGTACTTGTCTTATGCAACCAAAATAACACCTAAATAAGCTTATTCAGGGTCTATTTGGTGGGTCATCTGTTTGCAGGGCTACAGGGAATCTTGGCACTGTCGTCACCTGCAACTCATGCAGAAAACCATGAACATGTGCGGGCGCCTCCCGACTAAACCCTAAACCCTAAACCCTCAACCCTAAACCCAAAAACCAAAACCCTAAACCATAAACCCTATGCCAACCAGGTGCTAGCGAAGTGAGCACTGAGAGACCCTGAAACAACCAAGGGTTTAGTGTCCTAGCATGAGCCCTAATCTCAAAGGTCTGTAACCCCAGCGCATTTCGTCTCGAGCGGTTCTGAGCACACTTAGCGCCGTTTTGGCGCAGGCAAGTTCGCGATGTAGGTCTTTAAGAGAGCACACTCAGCGCCGGCTTGGCGCAGGCAAGTTCGCGATGTAGGTCTTTAAGACGTCATCGCTAGGCCTTAGAGAGACAGACAGACCGAAGACAGACAGACAGACAGACAGACAGACAGACAGACAGACCGACCGACAGACCGACAGACCGACAGAAAGAGAGAGAGAGAGAAAGAGAGAGCCACAGAGTAAACTTAAACTCCTAGACCGCACAGGACCTTACAACACGACACCTCAACGCCTTTGCCACAAAGACCCTCCGAAGCAACCCCGAAAGACCCCGAACCTCAACGACCTTGAACGAAAGGGGCCCGGAAACTCACCCCCAGAGAGAGAAAGAGAGAACGCAGATGCACATGACGTGAACTTGGACATGCACAGATTTATTTCTTGGACAAGTGGCATAGTGAATTGGTTGTGCGGGTTGCGGCTGTTCCATCGGCGGTACGTAAAATTCAACACTTCGCGAAGTGCCGAAAGCTGATCTGGGCATTGTCTTGTCCCCCAGCTTCTCTGGCAACTATCTTTCTCGATCGGGTCACCTCGGTGACAGGACTAGGGGGTGGTGGGAATCGCAGCGACAAACAAAGCATCACTAAAATCGAAATGCTACCGACTTCCGAACGCAAACCAAAGGGCCGATGGGGTATTCAACCTTCCAATACTTCTGCAAGGGCTGGAATCGCATCCAGAAGGTAGAAGTAATGCTGCCGCCGCCCGGCAGCAGTTTTTTGAGATCGGCTGGCGTCAAATCCCACTGCCTCTTGCGTTCGGCAGCTTTCTGCTGTTCTTGCTTCTCTTCACGCTTTTTGGCAGCCTCTGCTACCTTCCGTTCTGCATCTGCGCGGTGCTGAGCATCCTTCAGATTCTTCGCGGCCCGCTTCTCACCACTTTTGGTCAACTCTTCTTCAAACTGCTGCATGGCTTGCTTCTTGAGCTCTTTAAAAGCATCTGCGTTGTCGACATCCATCTCGGAAATCATGGCCAACACGCCCATGTCCACACGAGCAGCTGCTTTGCCCATGAGAGCGGCCACCCGCTCCTCCACTTCTTCCGGCTTGTCCGGTAGAAGGTACTGTATAAGGGCCCGGACGTAATCTATCTTGATCCGGTTTCCTGTTTTGCCTGACCCCTTTTTGGCTTCTGGCAAAGCCACCCGCAAAGACGTGCATATCTGAACCAGTTGATTCTTGGTCAACTTCATGCTCTGCTGGCGAAGAACTGCTGCTCGTAGGATCCATTCCTTCGACTTCACATGCATGACGGACCCAAACTCGTTCAAGGAGTCTGGAACACAAGCTGGCGGGAGAACCTCATGCACGACAAACATCCACGAGGAAGTCTCGGACACTGTAAAATTGAACAGCAGCTCCACTCCCTGATGATTGGGGTCAACGGACAAGAACTCCTGACACATGCACGCAAAAAGTGGTGTAGCTTTCCTAGAAGAACTTGAAGTAAAACAAGCACCGTGGGACCATGGGAGGAAGGTTCATGATTCATGTGTTGCGGGGTCCTGCTGGCCAACTTTGTGCGACCGCAACCGTATTCCAAGCGCGCACCAATCAACGAAACCCAGCGAGATCATGAAAACGTCCCTGTTGCGCTCCCAGAAGATAGCCCCTTTGAACAGCAATGCGCCTGCATCGGTGAATTCAGAAATTCATGCTGCTGCAGAGCCCGAAATGCTGCTACAAAAGTGCGGGCACTGGACTATACTATATCTAAACTGAGGCCAAAGGCTTGCCCAAGCCATTGTGAGATTCCGAAACCCAGAGTCAGACTCTTTGAGGAGGTAGCAGGCAGCGGCCGAGCTCCTGTAGTGAGATAGAGGTCCTGCCAGCCTCCACTTTGTCTTCACTACACCCTCCACTGTCTTTGGAAACTCCATGTCCTGCGCTTGTGGAAGGGGGGTCGCAGCAACATTGAATGCTGTGTTGAACTTCTGCATCCACTCGTCTTTAGCATTCCCGAAGCGAGAAAGCCATGCCAGCCACTCAGAAGAGTCTGGCAAGTGCTGTTTCATTCCGGATGATTTGATGAAACCCGAGCTGGTGCAATATAGCCACAGCCCGAGCCTGCTCGTGCGTTTGTTCTTGTTGGACCTGCTCACCACATCTGCCAAATGTCCGAAACAGCTCTCGAGAATCTCTTTGGTGGAGCTGCTGCCCCCGAAAAATCTGCGCATGAGTTGAGCCACGGTCTGGGCTTCAGGATGGTCAAGATTGTACTGCGCTCTTCGCAAACGGATCATGACCTCGCGCGCGAGGCTCTCTTCTTGAAAAGCCAGGTCCTTCAGCAACTGCCCAAGCAGAGGTTTTGTCTTTAACATGTCTTCTGCTTTGACCACGGCATCAATGAGCGTGCCAATCCTGCGCAGTGCTCTTTGGGCTTGGTCTCGATCTGCCAGCAACAAGGCGCCAGCAGCAAGCGGCAACGTAAATTGGTGAAGCATCTCCGACCACGCAAAGTTGCCTGCCAAATTGGTTGCAAAAGTGAAAGCTTTTTGCGCTAGCTCCGTTTCATCAGGCAACATGTCGGGCGTAGCACACGGGTTGCAGTGGGGCGTCATCTTCATAGCCATGTACAGTGCTGGGTTCGAGGTGCTTGCCAGAATCTCGTTGCTGGCTTTCAAACTGCTCCCAACACTGCGCTTTGCATTCCATTGCAACATCTCCTCCAATCCCTCTTTCTGTGCCTGCAGATCACTTTGGTAGAGCTTGTGCAACGGCCTGGTAACGCGGCACAGGATTTCTGCACTGCAGCGCAGACGGTCATCCGAAAGGATGTCCAGTTGCATTTGGTGCGGACCTGCCTTCTTGTAGGCTGCGTAAAAATCCGACTTGGTCTGCTTCCCTGCTGCATTTCGTGCTTCTTCCTCTGCCTCTGCTGCTTCATCCGCATCTTCGGCCTCGTCGACTGCAGCGCCTGCTTGTAGCTCCTCCTCGTCTGCCTTGCAATCAATTCGGAATTGTAGTAACCCCGTGGCTGCAACAAACAGTTATGCTTCCGGCTTGCTTCGGCGACCAAATTCAAAACTGGCCACTGCATGAACCCCACGCCTCGCAACAGCCTTATTATGTCTAATCTAAATCCCACCCACAAGCCGCGCCATTCCCCATACCACTCCAACCGGTGTGGAAAAAACTTTCTGAGACATCCACTCAACTCAAGCCAGACTCAAGCCAACCAAGCCCGTACCCGACTCTGGTGCTTTCATGACACGGCACAAGACCGTTGGACTCCACCACCACCGCCCGAGCTGCTTCTCTCAGCACTGTCCAGTCACGCAAGAGCATCTTGAAGCAGGTGAGGCAGCCGAACCAGCTCTTGTTTTTTGCCTTGGTCCAAATGGATCTAAAAACAAGTGCTGAAAACACTAACCGTCATGACTTTCTCAAGGCGCACAAGTAGAAGGATTTCATGCAATCCCAGATTTGCCAGGGGGGCACGAAATGCACACGTCGCTTGATCAGGGGCGATTCTAGGAAATCTGTCATCGATGCTTGGACGGCATCGCTGGTCATGCCTCTTTCTCCCCGGTCGTGGTTGATTTCCTCTGAAATCTCGTCGAAGTACTGCTCATCTTGTTTCTCTAGCCACGTCTCCAGGTACTCCCGTCGCATCGTGACACGCTCGCCTGTGAGCCGAGTGCCGTGGCCGTGATTGGCCGCGATGGTGAGGCGCATCAGATCGTAATTCATGTTGCTATGTTTCACTGCTCGCTTCCAACAATTCCATTTCGGATGTGAGATCTCTGGGGAAATCGCGCCTCTGACTCCAATGTAACTGTGCAAGAAGTGAAAACACTTGTTCTGCACTCCCTCTTCGTCTGCCACCTGAGCCATGAATAAAGCCCTCAACTGCCCACGCGACGCAGCCGACACAGCAACAAACCGCACACACAATCCTGCCAAGGTTCGAAGCGCAGCAATCCCATCTCGTCGATGGATCCGAGCTCTGCCTTCATCATGTTTTCACCCTTGAACAAGTCTCTGGACGGTCGTGCCCATTTGGGAATGAAGAAGTCAAGCCCTTTTCCAGTGAGAAGAAGAAACGTGTGGTGCAAAGCTTTCATCGTCACCTCAACTTCGAGAGCTCATTACAAGATGCTGCCTTGCAGGCCGTACGTCACTGGGCTTGAGTCATTGAGTGACCGGCAAAGAAACAGCTCGAAGCTTTCCCGGAGATTTGGGGCCTTGCAGAAACTTAAGAAGCCACTGGAAATTCTATCGACTCCTTAGAAAGTCGTGCCTGAACACGTCCTTCACTCGGAGTGTATCTGAGATCGTCTTGGGAAGGACCTGAGCAGAACCCCACTGTATTTGGTGTGCTCACTCTTTTCGAAGTCACTCTGGCCAAGTCGAAAAGCACTGCATTTTTTCTCGGCGACCAGTGCAGTCAATGCTTTCCTCTAAACAAAATCGGAAAACCCAGGCTCATATGCTCCAGCAATGCATCTGTACCCGCATCACTTCGCACGCTCCGCTGCATCGTCGTTCGTCTTCGTCTTCGTCTTCGTCTTCGTCTTCTTGTTCTGGCTGCTCTTGTCGTGACTGGTGATCGGTGTGGGGTTCGGAGAGCTCAGACGTTTTCTCTTGGCCTTCTGGATCGGGGTGACGTCGACGGATTTCTTGTCAGTGTCACAACCCGGCATGTCCAGCGAGCCCGTGCCGATGTAGACGGTACTCGCTTGCAGCTTCTTCGGTCTCTGAGGGGTTGTAATCTGAGTCGGTCGCTCCGGAGTAATCTGAATCTGAGCCCCCGATGCACGCGAAGGTGGTGAAGACTGCATGCTTCAGGGCCCGCAACCAGAACTTCTCTGTTCTAAACGGGACTCAGTCTAGGACCTACCCGCTGCTGCTGACAACATCAAAAAGCTCTCAAAGAACGACTCAAGGATCACTGCAGAAGCTGCGATTGTCACTCCTGACCACTGTGCCTGGTTGCTTGCTGGAATCGACACTGAGAAACATCAATGCATTCCGGAAAAAAAACAAAAGCGCCCATGCTTTTTGGCTCGTGGCCGCAGTGCACATTCGCGCAAGGTAAGAAACGAAACTCCTTGTCGTTGTACAGGTACTGTACACACACACACACATGCAATGGCTGTCTTGGAACCACTAGTACCTAGAAGTTAGTGCCCCAGTGGCTATACTAGACCCCAGACACACCCTCCCATCGCACCATGTGTTTCAGTTTCTGCACTGCACAGTCCGACAGGCCCGCACACGCCACGACTCCAAGACACCGACACGACCTCGATATCCGTCTAGCTTTCTAGCTGCTAGCTAGCCACTGGAACAGCTGTGGTAGGACCCTTAAACAACGACAGATGTGTCAAAAAAACGTAGCCCATCAGACATGCAGACACGTGGCCAGCGCAACTCATGGCCGGCTAGGCTGGCTGGCTCAGTCCTCATTTACCTTTCTGAAACCATTCCCCGGTCATCGTCTAAGTCTGTCGTCCCCTCCCTCCGTCTGTCTTTCGTCTACCCAATTAACTTGATAGAATGCCAGTGTACTGAGAGAGACAGCGAGCGAGAGAGAGAGAGAGAGAGAGTGAGTGAGAGAGGGAGACGAAGGGACAGACATTGCGAGAGATGCAGCTGGCGGTGACTTTGACGATAGCGGCGGTGGCGGGGGTGGTGCTGGCGGTGGTGATGGTGGTGGTCTGCTGGTGATGGTGACGCTTTTTGTAACGCATTTTGACGCACTTTGACGCACTTGGACGCAAACTTTGACGCAATTTGACGCAATTTGACGCGACGCAATTTGACGCAAACTTTGACGCAATTTGACGCAAACTTTGACGCAATTTGACGCAAACTTTGACGCACTTTGCATGACGCGCTTTGACGCTTGACGCCTTTTGACGCATTGGCGGTGGTGGTGGTGCTGCTGCTGCTGCTGCTGCTGGTGCCGGTGCTGGTGCCGGTGGGGCTGTTGCTGCTGCTGCTGCTGGTGCTCGTGCTGGTGCTAGTGGGGCTGGTGCTGTTGCTGGCGGTGCTGGCCGTGCTGGCGGTGCTGCCTGCGGTGGCGGTGGCGACGGCTGGCGGTGGACGTCCATGGTCTACTGCGCTTTGGAGAACAGAGCATCCATGCCCCGAACCTAATGACGTCCATGGTCTCCTGCGCTTTGGAGAACAGAGCATCCATGCCCGCAACCTAATGACGTCCATGGTCTACTGCGCTTGGAGAACAGAGCATCCATGCCCGCAACCGAATGACGTCCATGGTCTACTGCGCTTTGGAGAGCAGAGCATCCATGCCCCGAACCTAATGACGTCCATGGTCTACTGCGCTTTGAGAACAGAGCATCCATGCCCCGCAACCTAATGACGTC